ACACAAAAGCATACCAGTGTAAAGTGCAAAGTAAAACTATTGAATTCTAACGAGAGTAAGGAAAACAATTCCTACCTGAGTTACATTTCCAGGGTCCGAATGTTGCNTACCTCGCCGGAGAGGGCGCAGACATGAAAAGGCGCCGCGCCGCCGCGTGGCCCCTCCCAACCCACTTAGCACCGAAATCTGAAGGGAACATGTGGTAGTGACACCTTAAAAGTACTACATTTCATTATAAACAAGAAAAAACGTTAAATACAAAATATAAAGCTTGATGTATGTCGAGCGTTCATCGATTGAGCTTCAATCAATACCGTTTGAAAATTGCCCGCGAATTCTACTCGAATTCAAAATTGTAGTGGCTTTCAAATGCATCTTCGACATGTACATGACTTGCAAAAGCCAACTGATGCCTAATGCAGTACGAGTCAGCGCTTTTTTCACCCACATGGATGTGGTGCCAATTAATCGACCCAGGAGGAATGAAATGCTCAGGTCAGAGCTCAGGCACGTATCGGTCTGGGATCGATACTTGGATTCTAGTAGACGCAAAATTCATCCAGGGCACTAGACTCATACAGGCGACAGAACATTGGCTGCTTTCAGACTCCGACGTCCGTCCGTCCGTCGCGTGCGTGCCCCGACGGCGGCGCTAGGCTGGTGTTGACAACACTAGATCACGTGCCAGGGCGTCAACACCTGTCGTGCGCCGCCGTCGTAGCACGCACACGCACGCGACGGACGGACGGAGTCAAAGTCTGAAAGCAGCCGTTCACAAATTTGAGACGCGCGCGGCAAAGGGCGCGGCGGAAATCGTGATGATTTGAGCGATTCTAGCGCCTATCATTGCGGCACAAATTTGAGGTAAGGTAGATAAGTAACATCAGCTGGCCCTACTTATCGAATCCACTCAAACCTGGGCCCCAATGATAGGCGCTAGGGTCGTTTTAATCACCACGATTATCGGCGTGCGGTTTGCCGTGCCCATCTAGAGTTGGGTGAATGTACCGGCATCCGACTCATACATTGAATTGACCGTAAAATAAAATGCAATGGACGCAGAACTTCAGAGACAACAAATTCCTTTCGAGGCATAACCTTATTTGAATATACAAACCTAAACCCGCCAGTTGTACGACGCAGGAGGAGCCTTGGGCAAGTAAGGCTGCATTGCATTATGACCACTCGTCAAATCAAGACTCAACCTGGCCTACTGTAGGAACCGAGTGCCCGTACCCGTTCTCCGCTCCCTTCAGATTTTTGCGATAACCTCAGGGTTATTTCCGCCCAATTCGCACCGTCACAGCTTGAGATTATTTTGGTACCACCAAGACTGATTGGGATTGCCCCATCTATGCTCTTGGTCGAACATTAGGATGAAAGCAGCGTCAAGGTCCATGTCTTACAACTCTCTTTTAATGTCCAGCTCTTCAACCTTTTATGCTTGACTTCTGCCAGAAGAACGAGAAAAAAGCAAATTTTTGCTGAAGCACTGACTATGCTCCTAGCAAAAGTTCCATCTATTGTGGGGGTTGCATGACTTTTCCCAGTGGATTCGAAAATGCAACTTATCTCGATTAGGCATTCAAAAATTAATGGATCTATTGATCAAAATCTCTTCCAGTGAAATCACTCGTATTTTGCCACTTCTCTGGCATTGATACCACACCCGAAGAACTCATGACTATTTGGTTCGAAAAAGTTTGCCAATTTTCGACGCAAATGAATAATGTCTTTCGAACCTTGGCTGGCCGTTCAAATGAGTTTCATCGGTACGGTACATGAGAAGCTGAATGAAAGCTCTTTTCAGGATTTAGTTTGAATTCGTCGGCTGAGTGACGCAGACGGAAAAGGATAAGCACAACGTTCCACTCAGTACTCATAAAGCAGCATGTTATGAACAACTTTTTTCTAGTGGCTACTTTCTAACAAACATTCCATATTATCGATTCATTTAATAGCAAAAAAATGTGCACAAAAATATACAACAATAAGAAAATCATGTAAAAATCCCATCTCTGAGTTCAAAACAAAAATTTAGAGGAAGACTCTCTATTTCGTGGCTTTCAATATCACCAGAAGTGTAAATTTTATTGACATCTTTACGACAATGTTGCTAGAGAAACGATTCGGGGAGCACAGTTGTCAACTGATCGGCACTTTTCTGGCCAACCAGCTGTCACTGGCATGAACTAATCTACTAAACTATGAAAAATAAAATTCTATTTTGTTCACATTGATGTTCAAAAGGGTAGCGATGCAAAGGGATGTGCAACCATCGGTAGAGGTACCGTGATTTTTAATGGCACCGCTGCAACATACATAGATGACTGCTGATCGAATCATGCCCAGGCCAACCAGTTCCATCATCCCTACGGAAATTGATTCCGGATTTGCCGGGATGTCTAGGCGATGCCCGATGGAACTTCGAGTTCTTCGTCGTTCATTTTTCTAGTCAATTGATGACGTTTCCCAAGGGGTTTGATCAATATTTAGCACCGCAGACGAAGCACCACATCGAATTTCTTTTCAATCGATTACACAAAAGCATACCAGTGTAAAGTGCAAAGTAAAACTGTTGAATTCTAACGAAAGTGAGGAAAACAGTTCCTACCTGAGTTACATTTCCAGGGTCCGAATGTTGCCCAAGGTCTGATTCCTGAAAGTTCACAGTTTGGAACAAGCACTGCTTACAATAAGTTGGTAAATATTTTGATTCATCTTCCAAAAATCTAGGCCAAATTCCTATGTTTACCAGAAATACTGCTAACTCACTAAAAGCGTGATGGGATAATCGTTACCAGTACCAGCTGTTTCACCACCTTGCTGTTCTGAAAACATCGGAATCAACTGGAATCAATTTCGTTCATATTGCCACAAATGCTGTGTTTCCAAAGAAGATGATATGATATTAGCTAATATTTATATTTCCTCTATACTACTATTATCTTAATAAGTTTATAAATAATTCCTATTCGTGCCTGAGCGAGATACCACAAACTAATAAAAATATGAAGATCTAATGACCTTAGTGACAGCCGCCAGTGAAAAACAACATATCATGGGACGAGCCGACATATAAAAATCAATAAAACAAATGGAACCTTGTGGTGGTGTGGTTTCCTTCGTTTCTTCCATCGTACTGTTTGCCGGTGTTATTGAATCGATTGGTTGCTCTTTTACCTGAAAAGAAATAGAAATGAAAAACTGAAATTTCGGGGCAGCATACAAAACACGGTTGTCCAAAATCAAATTTTTACAATAAACATCGTAAAATACCAAATTCAAAGACAAGAATCATCTTTCAACCTTCTGAGTGATGTTTTAACAAATTAAATCAAAACCAAAACAAAATCGAAGGGCTTGTTTACACACTAAGGCGGCTTTTTTAGCAGTACGCCCTTACGCACGTATCTAACCACCTGGCGAAGGGTGTTACGAAATACCCTCATCTCATAAATTCACTGGACCTACACAGAAATAATAGGAATACGTACTGGGATTGTCCCAGTTGTGGAAACTAGTTGATAAATAAAATTAATACGTCTCGGAGAACCCTGCGGGAACCCCAAGCACGTACCACTTTCCACAGTGCTCAAACTTTGTGCGACAAACTAGTAAAACGCCCACTTCGACAAAAGCAAAGAGATTGTTGATGTAAGGAGGGATCAATAAAGGCTAACAATATGGATTGAAGCAATATATGACATTCAAAGTTTTTGTAATGATGGGCTTATTCAATAATCACGAACGCGCTGTCGTTTGACGTACTGCGAGTGCAGGTTTACGAGAAACAAAAACTATGGTACCAATCGATTTCTCTCTCACATTCTCACAACAACTGTGTAATAATTGAAGAATAGAAGCAGTCAAAAGTTCGAAACACGTCTTGATAATTATTCGTTCTGAAAGTCAATCGTAAACTACAAATATTACTATTACTAAAAGATTAAAGATTTCTGGCTTTTTGGATTTTTTTTTTGGTCGATCACCCCCTTCCTGGAATGCGCCGTCGCCTACAACTTCCATTCAGAATCGTAGTGGTGGTTTGATGCGTGTGTGACCTATACAATGACGCGGTGGCCAGCCGATGTGCCAGTCAGCAGTTTTACCCTCCTGGACGGGTCTTGTACCAACTGAGCGACTCCCTATGGATGGAATTCCTGGTTGGCCTAGACGGCTATCGTCCAGAATTCAACCTCCGGACCACTTCTATGACAGCGTACGCCTTTTGAAACACTATTAGTCCGCTTAATTTCTATCTTTACTGTATAATAACTTAGTTGTGTGACCTATGAGTTCGATCCATTCAGGGTTTTACACTATGTTGCTCTAAAGCATGAGCTTAGTGCTCTCTTACTAAATTCAGTCAATTAAATCAAATTAAATGACTTCGTTACTGGACAGTAATAAAGAGGTGGATAGTTACCTCAGATTGTGTTACTACAACAAATAAAAGTGATTGGTATTACTTATATTCAGTCGAATCACTTCGTTTTTACCTACCACTGAGGCTGAGGTAACGCAGTCATAGACACGAGCAGTGCTGAAGTGACAAAAATCTACGTCTGTATCATGGGGAACCACTGATTTATGTAGCTTGATAACATTTATCATGCAATAGTTCTGCAAGCTGTCACTTGCCACTTATGCAGCAGAAGCAAAATCATGGCGCGCTCATTCCCGAATTTTCCCGGCGTACAATTCTGCACATGTAGTTCAGTGGTTGATAACTCCCACTGATAACCTTCTATTCTGCGAAAGCTCACATTTTACGACCCTACATACGCAAACGTGTAACGCATTGATCGTTCGCGCGTTCTTGCAGGAAAAAAAGTAATAAATTCAATCGATATCGGTAAAGCAGTGAGCTATTTTGGGTGTGGTGCATTAGGAACGAAATGGTCGCGTCGCGGTGAGAGGGGCGTCGCGTGCGAAGGAATGTGGCAGGATGCAGCGGTAGGTAAGAAATACAAAAACAAAAGTACTAATAGTAGAATTATGCATAAAATAATAATCGCATATCGATTGAGCTGTATGAAGAACGCTAAAGCTGTAATAACGGCAATATAATAAATCTCAAATGAAGCAAGTGGAATTATAAATTTCGCAGCAGATACATACACAGGCTTGCTTGAGACATGGATGATTATAGACTACTGTAAATGGAAATGACTTGAACTCCGCTTTGGAAATAGCGGGCGCTGCGAAATCTTTTTGAATCGTACTATTTTTTGTTGGGAACACTGTCTCTGAAATTTATGCAAAGTTGCCAACTCGCACAAGTGCTGTGAAGTTGCACCCTCTTTGTAAACATACAAAAATGATTTTCTCGACTTTTATACATTTGATTCTTTTGAGCAACGAATCCGCATTGAATTTTGTTTAACGAGCGGATAACAAGATATACTATTTGAGTGTTATGCCCTTTGTCCCAAACTGTTCAACCCAAAAGGCCGGAAGTATAACCACACATATCCCGGTCTCTGCACTAGGATAATGTATCGTACCAATTTCATCAAATAGTCGACCCGTACCGTTCCACAATCACCCTAGTCGCCGACTCAGTACCGCCCGACTTCTAGGTATTCAACAGTTTTAGCAGGCTTCTGGAAACGCCGTTTCGATTTGACTGAAGAGGCAAAAGCCAAATCGAAGCAATTAGTAAGGCTACCTCAGAAATCAGCAAGTGCGAGATTTTGACAGACAAAAGAACTCAGTGCTATGCTTGGCTTCAGATCGAAGGAGATTTGGCGACAATGATGGTGTCCAAAAGCAAAGTGAAATCCACAACCTACAACATCTGTTAGCCAGCTGGGTCTCGTGTGTAGAAATAAGACGATGAGACTGCAGAGCTGCAGGGGACAGTTCGATTAGCCTTCAACTGCGCTTCTTCACCTTCTTTGATGGGAAGCTCCCTACTTGTGAGATCATAGCCAATTGAAAAAATGCTCGCAAACCAACAAATTAATTAATCAGCTGAATCGACGAAGGCAACCGCTTCAAGGGCTGATACCAGACAAATTCGATAGTCTTCGTCTCAACTGCCAACCAAAACAGTCTCAATTCGTCTTTAATTATGCTGGAGTCAAGACCATCCACACAACATTCCGCTGATGATCTTAATCAGCATGGTTGGATATGGCATAGGCTTCATTCTGGAGACAACTTGGGGCTTTCCAATAGACTAAGCCACTGTCTGCTCATCCAAATATGCCGATGGAGCAAAATGCAATAAGCTACAATTACATTTACATTCAAAGACGGAAAATCAGAACACAATTACATTTCACCATTCAATTTTGTTAATAACACCTAAGGCACAGAGGCGGGTGGCAAAAGCAAAGGTGGAAACCGGTGCAATAAGTGTCAAAACAACCTTTACGACTTCATCACACCGCAGCACTGACCTCCAAACAACTCGTATACCAACCGTAGACTATGCCATTTGGAGGTTTTTAGAGCAAAGCCTATCCTTCTCCTCACAAATTGACCAATCCTCTGAAATCGGTTTCAGAAAAAAAGGTTGGGGCTGACTCTTAAAACTTAGATTACTTCCTGTACGCCATAGTTCCATTCGCCACTGCGTCCGCGCCAAAGGTTTCTCCACAAAATGATAATTTAGGCGGCAGTTTTACAACTTATTGTAAATTCGATCTAATTTATTACATTTCTTGTTTTTCTGAAATGCCCATTCACCCTTCCACCCATGCAAAAGGGAAGATCCCAAAGCCGCTCTTTCCTCCTTTCCAGCCCGAAGGGAGTTCTCAGAATGAAAGATTCTGAATTTGTTGATGCGAATGCGAATCACATTCTGTGAAAATGCGCCATGAGCCGGCCGTTAATGGGGGTCATTTTTAATCGTGGAAAAAGTGCCTTCCGATTCTTCTTAGTACTCACACCTTGCCTGTCCTCAAGTGGCGACCAATACAGGGATTCCAAAAAAAGTGGTTGATCATACAAATCAGCGCGTATGTACAGTAAAGGATCTTGGAAAAGGCTGCAAGCTGGTTTTGATGCAATTGTATTGGTCGAAGTTGACCACATCGGTGGAAAGATCTTTTACTATGCCATCGAAAAGGCAATTGTCAGTAAGAAATATGTCCGCTATTAGTTAACGCAAAATGTTCCGATTTCCAATTCCCATTCGAGTTTTCCCATATTGAAGCTATTATATTTAGTGAGCTTATGCTCTGAGAGATGCACCAATCCTCTTGCACCTTACCAATCATCTTTGAGTGAATATACCATGGAGAAACATAGACCGACTAGCAAGACACATTTTTGACCACTCTGGATAAAGTAAGCTGGAGTAGGCCATTGAATAAGACTGAGCAGCAGTAAGGTCCTGCCCGATACAACCCTCGACCGATAAAACTGCCCATCTCGGCTGCTGGCTGCACTTGGATGAGGAAAGGAAGGGGAGGAACAAGTATGCACGAGGTACTCTATCAGAGGTTCGAAGAAACCCAGGTTTCTATGTAGACCTCTGTAACCTGAAGAAACCGTTGCCTAACAAGAAAACAAGGACGGCACATTCGCAACTTTGAGCTGTCCTCAGAAGGAAGCTTCTCTCATAAAGAGGATAAATTTCCAAGAAGACTTTGACGAATGAACTCACCGTATTTTCCTTACTAAAGTGAAGCCTTTTCGGCTTGTAGACGAAACGTTGACGGCGAACGTTGTTGAATGTTTGTGGTGATGGTTTCGGAAGTGAAACCAGTGATGGTTCGGAATCCATCCGACCGAACTGAGCTCAGAATCGATAAATGTTGGAGAGCAGCAAATGTTGCTCGCAGATGAACAGAATCTCGGATGACAGGCGTGCGCAGACGAGTGACAACTGATACGTGCAATGGAGAAGAAAGTTAAGATGCCGTGCGTATCGAATGAAGAGGTATGGGTGTGTGTTCACACCGACGACTGTTGCACTGAGATATGTATAAGAAAGCACTCATCAGTTTCTTTTTTGCTGTTAGCGTTCGCATGAAAGAAAGGCCCTTCACACACGACCCACTCAGATCTCTGATCTATCAGTACTTGTTTATAGTCAATACATATCAACCAGAAATGTTTCCAGGCTTAATCTGATTCAAAGATGTATATAGAAGGAACCTTGAAGGCGAAAAGTCCACTCCAGTCGTCGTACGTCCCCATGAAATCAATACAACTGTTGAATGGCCTATCACGTAGAAAAACGAACCAGTTGGAAACAGATCACCAGTATTTCCTGATGAATCAGAGATGACAACAAATCAGACAGTGTAGACCAAGAATTTTCACAAAACCAAGCTCACATGAAGAACCGACAGAATGGGTTGATTGTGAACGTCAACAAACAGCTGACAATGCGCTCAAGAACGACTAGTCGGCGTTTTTCTTGATAAAGGCGGAACAGCTCGATAGCAAAGATTAGCAGCTGTCGATGCTAGGTGAAACATTCAGGTCTACGACACTAGCTACTGCTCTACGACGTCAAAGCGACAAAGGAAGAGCATTGACGTACTGGTTTCAATGTTAAACCTCTGCCCAGGAAGTAAACCGCAGCACGTGATTTTATGCGGCAATTACACAACAAATCAATGCGCTTGAAGCGATAGTCGAAGACAAAACCTTTTTATGAGGATCTAACAGTAAGCGAGCACTTAATGTGATAGAATTACCTTCCTCCAGCCGGAGGGAAAAGTCTAAAAAGGAAATTTTCTCTGAGAAGAAAATGCTCCCGAAATGATGGAACCGGTCCGAAAAACAGCGTCCACACCTTGGTACTTGCCTAGGCGTGGAAAGGGAGTCAGACTACAGGGTATTCCCTGATTATACCATCAATATCGTCAGACAAGATTCTATAGTAAATTTCTGGATTGATTTTACACTAACGCACGGGTCCTGTATCATAATATTTTCCAGTTTCGAACCAAATCCTATCAAAAAATGCACAAACAAGAGGGAGACCTGTCTCTCGATTTTAAGACCGGTTTGTCGGGTTTGCTCGAGAACAAGAGATCAGCCTATGCAAAACAACCGAAAATCAGTATGTCGTGAAAATCACCATGAGAGGAAGTAACAGAAATAACTAAGGACCTTGCTGAATCTGTGGAGCGCCTATTGAAGTAAAAACGATAAACGGAAAGAAGTTTCTCCTACAACTACAACTACATAGTACCACGAGAACTGAGAATAGCACTTCAAGTGAACAAGCCAAACTAAAAGTGACAACTCAGAGCGTGGGCACTTGTTAATCGTTTTGTGAGCGTGCGAGGAAGCTTACATCATCGTGCACATGCAATAAGCTGGGCCTCATCACAATTCCGTACCTCGCAGGCCCAGAAACACCTGGACCGCCTATACTCCTTGGCTACTCGACCGCAACAAAAGGTTTCCATGGAAAATTTGCAGCTGAACCCATCCACTTTTTTGATCGACAAGGATTTGATTATTCAAAGACCCGCATCCTTACAATCTGTACGGCACCAAAATGAGGGAGCCCAAATTCGTCAATTAGGTCAACAAAATAGCTCTATCAAGCATGATGGACAGAATTTTTGGGTACACGACCAGTATGTTACTCGTAAATAAATCCTTTGTTTATTATGAAAGTTGCACAACAAACAAGGGGAAAATGGCTGATATTTGTGCGGCGAAAGATGCGCTCGCTAATAGAAATGCAATAGGCGATCAAAGTAAACAAATACGGGGTCCGCCTACGGAAGAGGGCACCGCCCCTGAGCCGATGTGGATGCATGGTTATAGAGGAGACCAGTTCGAAAATAGTATGGTAACAACCGACAGGGTGAAACTCGCAGAATGCGAAAAGCGTTAAAAAAGAGAGTAATCCAAGATCAAACTCGAGTAGTCCGTCAACAGAAGATAAAGAAACCGCCATCGTACAAGAGGATTCATTCACGTCGTCGATGCAAACAATAAAACGAAGGAAATTGAGTCTGAGTTCAAAAGTGCCCTTTCTGTTTGTTACATATCAATCAATTTGCGTGGTTTCATTTGTTTACCTTGGCCAACGTCTATTTCGCCGCCAGAATTCATATTTCTTATCTTACTGATTACTCTGAAGCTTTTTTGCTGTGCTTTAACTGTCGGTCTCTTAAGCTGGCCGTTCTACTCCGAGAAAAAGGTGCCAAAGTTTTACAGATTCACAAGTTCTACGGACACAGCCCTGGTGTTGCCAACTTGAGATTGACTTTGAACAGTTTCTTATAGTCCATGGACACCTTTTCAGTTCCTCGTCTATACAACCACATGAACATGATCACTCCATTTGGAATAAATCGTCATCTGCAGTTTTCCAGACATTTTCCAGACAGTGCAACCCAAAATTCCCAAACCAAAACAGCTGCGAGACATTAAACAAGAAAAAAGTGGATTCATTCATTTCTGTCATGATATTCGACGTCTGAAAGCACTTTACACTATAAATTCCCATACCCTGAATGCTCTAAGGGAATAAATAATCCTTCCTCAAGAGGATCTTGAGTGAGAGACTCGTGGGCTAAGCATCGCTGAAAAGTTGTCTAGCTTCTCATCAGGGCTCTGTGTCTTCCAGTTTTATTAAGAATAACTCTTGTCTGAATCACAGAGCGGTAATCATAAATATTAGTATCGGAAAAAGATGACTTCAACACACTCCTACATTACTCACACTGGAAGATAAATAAAGACCACTGGGAGACACTGAAACTTACTCATCCCGCCGATTTCACAAGAAAGAAAAAGAAAACCTCCTGGTGAAAGAATCACACATAACTGAGGTCACAATCCGACTGAAGTAATAGGCTGGCTGCAGTAACCTGTTGCCACAACTATGAAGGACATTGAAGTGCTTTTGTGACCACTACTCGCGAACTTTTTGGAAAAACAAAGAAAAGATTTCCAATAGAGGGGGTAAAGGAAAGGGTTGAAGTCCATGTCAGAATTATGACAGCCCCAGAACCAATACCTAGGATAGTGTGAGATACCAAACAAACTCGCCTTCGGAGATGCGAAAAAACGGAATAGATCTAATTTACGAAGGAAAAAAGATGATGGCGAGGAGCATGCCTGCCTCCAAAACGAATAAGAATGACGGGCAGCAGAGCATACTGATGCGCATGGTGGCATAAGATGACTGAACAGGAATGGATAAACAAAAGGATAAAGTCTTATGGCGAGCCAACTAATCCCCATTTTGGAATGCGCCTCACATTCGACTTATATTCACTATCATATGCCGCTTTGAATAAGTTGAAGGCCTCTACGACGAAATGCGGCAGTCAACCGTTGTATAAGTTATTACCTTCAGTCTATCAGGAGAGTATGGAACCAATCGACCGACCCAGGAGGGATGAAGGGGTAGGCTGGTTCGGGCGGGTACCAATCCGGGTCGATCCTGGGACCTTGCATGTGACAGTGCACCCCACTTGCCACTCACCACTAATGAGGGACATAATTAATGAGAATGAAACCTTGATTTGAAGTTTTTTAGAGGAAGGAGTGCATGGGCTTATTGGCTTATTAACGGAACTTCTCCCTGAAGGCAATTCAAATACCTAGCAGACCGATTATTCCCAAGGAAACAGCATTAAGATGAAAACCATGACCAGAAAAGAGACTGGCTCATGTAGCTAATCCACCGTGAATGAAAGTATTTCGAAAAATTTTGGCGGAGCTTTTTCCATGACAACCGCAATGGGGAAGAAAAATGCTAGACATTCGAAGAAGCTTTGCTGCCGCCTTTCTTCCCGAACAAAGGCTGCTAATAGACCTTTCAGGTACCGTAGCATGAAATAAGTTGAACAAACGAACAATGGAATTCAGTAAATAGCTGTCAGTCTCCAAGGAAGTCCAATTGTTCGAACAGGTATTGAGGCCCACAGTTGTCAGTAGCAGTGAATGGAAGGTTCCAAGAAAAAAAAGCTACAAAAACGAATGTTGTAGCGAGAAATGAGGATGCTGATAGTGAGATAAGCACATGGTTAGGCGTGACTGGGTGTTGCTAGGGAGCAGATCTGATAGCGCTTCATGGCGTGCTTCGACAAAAATGCGAAAGCATTAGAAAATAGTCCCTAACAACACATCTAGGAAGGAAATACCTAAGCACATGTCATAGAGGAGCTCTACAGAATAGACCGAGGTCATTTTCAAATTATAAATGGCAGAAGAACTTTTTTGTGGAGACGTTTCATAGTAAGGTCAGGCTCCGCGTAAGCGTCGAAGGGACGCTGGACGCCATTTTTCTACTCACGCAAGACGCCGTAGTAAAAGAAATACCAATAAATTCTTCCAAACGATATTTGACGCGAAGCCGCAGCTATTACTAAAAAGTAAAGCAAACCAGTTAGCCTAAATATCACCATCGTACGACGCGTGCGCCATTAATTTCATGGTCAATGCAAAACGAATGAATAAATCAAAGAGGAATGCAAACGCATTTAAATCTGCCATCGATTACAATTCTTGAAGATTCTCGAAGAGGGCTGCTGAAAAGTTGGGTATAATCCACATAAATTATATTACTTCAGAAAAAACTTAATTATAGTTATTTTCATCACAAAAAAAAAACAAAATAATGCGCTGTGCCTGAGCTATACGTGAATTCGGTGGTAGGTAACAAATCTTAGACATCAAATATCTGGTCAAAACATTTTGCACAACATGATTATGGGTCTTAAAAATATATCTCCCATAGATCCCCTCAGTTAGTGTGGCTACAAAAGCTACAGTAATGCTTTTGTCGTTGTCACCACCCACAAATGGCGAAGTTATTTCCCTTTCTTGCAATTTTTATGCGGATTTTCCTTCAAAAACCAGTATTTAACAACAGCAACTCTGACAACATTCAAAAGTTCAGTAAGTACTACTTACAGCAGCGCTCAAAAGTCTTCGGTGAAATGGTTCTTCAGCCGTACTTTTCAGTCGTAACTTCTTTCCTACTAGATCTAATCATGCGAAATTTCTAAATGGAGCGTGGGTGTATTGTGAATATTTACCACTATTAACAGGCAATCTCATCATGTTCCAGATTTCCAAAGAGCATGAACTCAAAATCGACTGAAAATACAGATGATAGTCCTTCTAGAACCTCTCTCATTTTTGTCATGTCTAAAGTGTACGAGCGGTAAGGCCAAACACAATAGATGAGATAAACGCACATAAGGTGCGAATAAGCGCAGACGTCAACAACTTTAGTTTTAGCAAAATCTGCTGCCGCAACAAACACCTTACTCTATGTGTGGATATTGCAGCTTTGCAGTCAAATATTGTTGGGTAGGGTGAAATATGCTCTAGTTAAAAATATCCAAATTTTGTGCAATTTGGTCTACTAAGAAAAACGTTATGAACGAAAAAGCGTCTAAGCATTTCACCGAAGACTTTTGAGCGCTACTAGATGTATATCAATTTCTATAAGCACCTATTCTGTTTCAGGCAAGTAGAAAGGTGTTTCGCACTAAAAATGGCAGGACTTCCATATAATATTCTTCAAATTTTTTGTACTTTTTGGAAGGGTATACTTTCAGTACCTCTTCGAGCTACACAACATCTAAAACTCCTGGGGCCATGGACAAAGAGAACCTATATTCGAAGCATCCTGGACACGCAGTAACAAAAAAGTTTTGCATCATTTTTGCAGCAAAACAAAAAGATGAGCTGCGCTCATTAGCAACGCATGAAAATGCGGTGAGGTCGAAACAAGGGTTCAAAACTCACATATTCCGGCACGACAGCCGGTCCAGGGTCGACTGGTGAAGGATCGTATTCAACCTCAACTTTCTGACAGTCAGCGAACTGAGCTATTTGTGAGTCATCCTCGACCAAAACCTAACAAAAAGAAACNAAGAGAACCTATATTCGAAGCATCCTGGACACGCAGTAACAAAAAAGTTTTGCATCATTTTTGCAGCAAAACAAAAAGATGAGCTGCGCACATTAGCCACGCATGAAAATGCGGTGAGGACGAAGCAAGGGTTAAAAACTCACATATTCCGGCACGACAGCCGGTCCAGGGTCGACTGGTGAAGGATCGTATTCAACCTCAACTTTCTGACAGTCAGCAAACTGAGCTATTTGTGAGTCATCCTCGACCAAAACCTAACAAAAAGAAACGGTTAAATAGTTGGAAAGAATCAATTCCCGATTATAATGCATATTTGTAGCCATCCACTTGCTTCCACCTGGAAATCTCAATTTAGACTCAGGGGAGGCTGGATAGCTCGGGTGTAAAAGGAAAATTACGTCAAAAATAAAGATCGCAAATCGAATGGGCTATAAGGAAGAACCGGAAGAACGCTAGAACTGCAATAACGAGACAACTAGTCCGCGACTATCGCACGACTATCCGTGTATCGATTACATAAAACCGATTCAACTGCCCGTCTCCCGGATAGCCCCACACGGGATGTAACATATAAAATTCACCCTGCTTTAGTCTAGTATTGATTTAAGCAACAGATCTACTATCTCGGCTTAACAGAATAGGCCTGAACTATGGACGGGGCTTTATCGAAGCAGCACTTGGAAAATCCTAGAAATGGAACGGAGGCAAAGGCATACACTCAAAGCAGTGATAAAAAAATCAAAGCAAATTGATACACCATTTACTAGAACCTTATACAGTCACCAAGTAACCTACCCTATCAGGTAGGGTCCATATAGACTTTACCACACCATTCCGCATGGATTTCTCAATCATCTTCCTCAATTGCATTACCGTCGACCCTCCAGGG